CAGCTCAATCAACTCGATATCACGTTATTGCCACGAGTACCCGACTCCAAATGGCCCAAATCTATCCAATTTAATTGCAAAATTTAAATATAACTTCAAGTGGCTAATTCAAATATTAAATTGGAAGCTAACACGCGAAATTAGGAAAATCGCCCAAAAAATCTCCCGGGCCCACGTCTTGGAATCGGATAAAATTCGCAAAACTAGAATCCTCACACTCTCACGAGTTCATACATACCAAATACATGAAATTTGGACTACAAACGACCCCTCAAATCCCCAAAATCCAAATCTCCAATTTCAAACCCTAAACCCCCAATTCTAACCCTTATTTTCCATAAATTTCTTGCCAAATCAGTAGAATAATACCATATAAATGAGTTTGGGTTCCAAAAATCTTACCTCCTTGAAGCTCCCTTGAATCCTCTCTCAAAAACCTCCCAAAAAGCTCAATTCTCGGATAAAAATGGTGAAAGAATAGGCTATTTCCTCGCATCTGCGGCCATTTCCTCGCACCTGCGGACCCTCACCTGCGGTCACAGGTGCGCATCTGCGAAAATTTACTTAAATGCACTGGCCGCACCTACGCTTCACTTACCGCATATGCGGTCTCGCAGGTGCGATAAAGCACCCGCACCTATGACTCCTGATTTTCCTTCCTCTGGCCGCATCTGCGGCTGGCCACACGCTTCTGCGCGCCCGCACCTGCGGTCCCAATCTGCAGGTACGGTTATGACAGCACTTCAGCAGCTGAAGTTGCTTCCAAATCTCCCGATTCTTCCGTCAACCTTCCAAAATCATCCCGAGGCCCCCGGGACTTCAACCAAAAATACGAACGAGTCCTATACTACTATTTAATCTCTTACCAACCCTTAGAACACTCAAAAAAATACCGGAATACCAAATCACCATCGGATTCAAGCTTAAGGATTCCTAGACTTCCAATTTCCGCTTTCAATCAAAACGTCTATCAAATCTCGTCCGAATTACCTGAAATTTTGCACACATGTCCCAAATAACACAACGGACCTACTCCAACTACCGGAATTCCATTCCGACCCCAATATCAAAATCTCACTATCGAACCGGAAACTTCAAAAATTTGACTTTCGGCATTTCAAGCCTAATTAAGCTACGGACCTCCAAAACACAATCCGAACACGCTCCTAAGCCCGAAATCACCCAACGGAGCTAGCGGAATCGACGAAATTCCATTTCGAGGTACTGCTCCGACTACGATCCAAATTCTAAAGCTTAAGCTCTCATTTAGGGACTAAGTGTCCTAAAATACTCCGAAACTCACAATGAATCATCCCGGGAAATCAAAATAGCAAAAACAAACATGGGGGAAGCAGTTAATAGGGGATCAAGGTGTTAATTCTTAAAATACCAGCCGGGTCGTTACAGGACGACCCGTGACGCATATGTAGAAGATGTTAGAAGAAAAGAGAGTGAAAGCAATGTTTGTGAGAACATAGATTTAACTCCATAGCTTTTAGAATCAATAGTTATAAGAAGAGGGAAATCAACTCCATCTGACTCCAATATCCTCATGTTGTGCAGTCTGTCCCTGCACATGTCGATGAAGTCCTGGGCATCATCATGTCGCTCACCCCCGAAGATAGGAGGGTGAAGCCTAGTCCATCTATCCAATAACTTCTGCGGATCACCGTCCGCAGCTGGTCTGAGCTGGGGCGCCACTGCAGCAACTGGATGGCCCCCATCTGCGGGTAGTGCACCCGGAGTTTGATACACTGCAGCTGCATGTCCAGGAGCCTGAGCAGTAGGGGTCTGTGCTCCCCCTCCTGCCTGTGAGGTAGCCGGATCTGCTGGAAATAAACCAGCCTGAGTCATAGAATCTATGAACCGAAGCATACGGCCCATAACCTCCTGAAATCCCGGTGCTGTCATAAAGTCTGCCGGGGTGGGCTCAGCTGCGGGCAACTCGCCCTGCTCCTTGATAATAGGATCTCCCGCAGGATCTGCTGGTGGTACTACTGGAATAACTCTGGGACGCCCTCGTCCCCTACCACAGGCCGGTGCCCTCCCCCGGCCTCTACCTCGGCCTCGAGCAACAGGGGGAGCAGCTTCGCCCGGGTCTGGAACATCAGTCGTGCGTGTCCTCACTATCTGTGAGAGAATAGAAGAGGGAAATTTAGTATACCAATCACTGCACGATAGGAATGAATAAAGAGTAGTTCTTCCTAATACCCTATAGCCTCTCGAGGATAAATACAGACGTCTTCGTACCGATCTACAAGACTCTATTAGGTTTGCCCATGACTTGTGAGACCTACGTGAACCTAGTGCTCTGATACCATGTTGTCACGACCCATTTCTGAGAATAGGTCGTGATGGCGCCCAACACCGTTTGTCGGGCAAGCCAACGCAGAAAAATACTAACTAAACTTTCATTTACCTTTACCCCGAAATAGTTGGAATAATTCTTTAAGGTAAAATAAAATCAGAAACGATTAATAAAGTCATGATAATCATACAACCCCAAAATAATACAGTCTACTAATGTGTGTGCCAAGACCTGGTGTCACAAGCTGTGGGCAACTAGTAGAATATACAAAAGAATCACACTATCCTATTATCCGAAACAAAATAGATAGCAAAATACATAAGAAAGACTTCTTCAGGCTGCTGAACGGCATGGAAGGGAAGCAGCTCACCGTAGAAGTCTTGGGTCCGCTCAGGGATACGCACCAGACTGATAGCCAGATACACCTGCCTCAGATCCTGTACAATTAAGTACAGAAGTGTAGTATTAGTACATAAATAATATGTACCCAGTAAGTATCCCGTCTAATCTCGAAGAAGTAGAGACGAGAGGTCGACTTGACACGTACTAGGGTCAAATAATGTGAGGAGAGTTCATAATTAGCATGGATAGCACAAGTTATCAGCATTTAAAAATCATGGAATAACAGTTCTTTCCCAAGTATTATCATGGATATTAACCTATATTTCAAGCAGATATGAAATTCAGTCCTCAGAGAAATGCTAAGCAAAACATGCGCAAGTAACACCGTGGGACGTACGGCCCGATCCAACTTAAAGTAAATTGTGCACTGCCAAGGGTCGAACGGCTCGAACCATAAATGCATCTATTACCCCGCTCGCGAATTACCCATGCGACGCGGTCAACTATAAATAAGCTCATCAACAAGCAAACAATAATGTATATCTTAGGAGTAGTTATTCACAGGAATACCCAATATTCTCTTTCAAATGACCAAACAGGATAAGGTTCCTTCACTAGTCTCACTTACCTTAATCAAATAGTTTATACGAATCCGAATTTATCATCAAGTTAGAAGAATATCACGTAGAACATGCTTATGGGTCCTAGATTACCCGGACTTAATATAATAGCTGCTACGCACGGACTCTCATCACCTAGTACGTACGTAGCCCCCGCATATAATGGCAGTTAATTCAATTATTATACCTATGGGGACAATTCCCTCTTACAAGGTTAGAAAGGAGACTCATCTCGCTCCAAAGTGCACTTCCAATACAAAGAACGAGTCCAAGCCCTCAATTCGAAGCCGAACGATCCCAAACTCAAGATGCTTGGTGAAGGTTTTCTCTCAACTCTAAAATCGCCAATGGAGGAGTGAAAATTATCAAAAATTGATTTGGAACCCGTATTAAATGAACCTCACTACTTCAGCGATTTTCGCATCTGCGGTCAGGGGACCGCATCGCGGTCCCGCATCTGCGAGAAATAAACCGCATCTGTGAAATGGGGCGAAGGAGGTGGGACCGCTTCTGCGGTCTCGAGGCCGCATCTGCGGAGCCGCTTCTGCGGCTTGGAAGCCGCTTCTATGGTTCCTGGCCTGGCTGCCCTGGGCCGCTTCTGCGATGAAGGGACCGCTTCTGCGGTCTCGCACCTGCGGTCCACCAACCGCAGGTGCGGTTATGACAGAAGCAGCAAACTTCAGCTCTTCTCAAAAATTTTCACTTCACTCGAGCCTTGTCCGATTGACGCTCGGGGCTCCCGGGTCCCGCCCGAACATACCGACAAGTCTGAAATCACGAGATGGACCTACTCGAACCTTCGGAACACCCGAAACAACGCTAAATCTAGGAATCACCCCCTAAAACCAAATGAATCAAACTTAAGAACTTCAAGTTCTAAATTCTCCTCCAACGGGCCAAAACGCCCTTAAACTACTCGGATTGGCGCCAAATTTTGCGGGTAGGTCTTAAATGATATTTCTGACTTGTACCAGGCTTCGGAACCAACATACGAGCCCGATACCCATGAAATCAATCATTAGTTAGTTTCTTTAAATCCTTAATATTTCAGATTAACAATTTCTAATAAAAATTCATTACTCGGGCTAGGGACCTCGGAATTCGATTCCGGGCATACGCCCAGGTCCCATATTTTCCCGCGGACCCTCCGAAACTATCAAAACACGAATCCGGGCTCGTTTGCCCAAAATGTTGACCAAAGTCAAACTTAGCCTTTTAGGAAAATCCTAAAGAGTCAAATGTGCATATTTCAATCCAAACTCTTCTAAATCCCGAACAACTATCCCCGCAGGTCGTAAATTAGTTAAAGCGAGCACAGAGAGTTTTATTTGGGGGAACGGGATTGTAAAAAGGCAAACGACCGGTCGGGTCGTTACAAAATTACAGAACTAACAATATCATATAGGAAGAAAAAAGTTGTAAGGAATATACTATATTGTAGAATATCTTTATTTCATGCAAGTTGATTTTTCTATTTTACTTAGTGTAAATTATGTATTTAATTTTTTTCATTTTCCGTAGATAATTTTCTTACTTATTGTATTTAATTTTTTTCATTTTCCATAGATAATTTTCTTACTTATTGTATTTGTTAGTATTTACGTTTCTCTTATTTATGGTATTTGTATTATGAATAAAAGGAAGAAAATATATATTAACAAAAAGAAAATGAATATAAAGGCCAATTGGCCCAAACCAAACTCCCCAAAACCTAATAAAATTATAAATACTTCAATCTAAGTGAGCGTTCCTTTCCAGCCGCCAACCCCCTTGCTTCCTTTTCCCGTTTCCTTCTTTTACAGCGCCCTCTGTCTTCACGTGAAAGGAGCAAATCAACGGAATCACTGGCTACATAGCCCGATGCCTTTTCTCTTTTCAGGTATGTTTATATATCTACATCTTAAGATTTCTCAATTCTCATACACTTATTTGAGTTGAATTTTTGGATTTATATTCCAACAATTTGATAGATATTGTGGTGTATTATGATAGTTAATGAGTGGAACCTTGAAGATTATAATGTAATGTTAGGAGGATCCATACTTCGTCCAAAAGACATTATAAAAATGAGATGAAAATTCTTTCAAAAGTTTTTGAAAAAGCATACAGGTTTGTTTTCTTGTCTTGTTGCTTTAGAATTTTCCCCTCTTGTTATATGCTAAAAATTCTTGTAAAAGAATTATCTACACATAATTTTTCTCTCTTTGAATGTTCTTCTACCATTTTTACAAGTCAAACTTGCATCTTAGTATTAGTGTTTCTTTTGGTTCACTCATTCCTTTGTGCTAATTATTGTTTCTTTTGAATTTACAGGGTGCATTTTAATCTATTGAATGCAAGAAGATCAAGGATTCAGAGTGAAATTACTTCGTCCTTGGCTACAGAAGATCATCTGGTGGCAACATCTTCCGTCCCCAGATCAAATACTTAGAACTTAGTTTTGTTTTAATGTGGAACCCTTCAGAATTTTATAGATTATAGTTAAATGACCGATTGTACATTAGATAGACAATTGTATATTTTAGAATTATTTTTTAAAACTATTTAGATGATAATTTGTATAATAAGTGATATTCTAAATTTATTATTGTGTATTTCTATGGTTTGATCAAGATGTATGGATATGAAATATTTGAATTTTTTTTACGAATATTTAGTGAGGTAAAGAAAGAAAAATAGCAACGCCTCGGATAAAGAAATGTATTATCACTAAGAAATTATTTTTTATAAATAAAATAAAATATAATAAAAATTTAGTCACCAAATAAAACATAATAAAAAAAAATCTAATTAGAATATTTTGACGATTTATAGCTATGAAATTATGGATTGGTAGCTAAATATAAATACTATAGCACAACTTTAATATGTGAGCACAGCTACATATTTGAATTTTGTGGCTAAATAAATAACATCTTTTGCCATGGTATGTCCCTTTGTGGCTAAAGTAAAAGATAGCTACAAAATTGATTTATCGTGGCAAAAGAATAAAATCATTAGCTATAAATATATATTCTTCATGGCAAAATATTTTATTAATATAGCTACGTCACAAATATTCTTGTAGCAATAAGTATTAATCCTTAGCCACAAAATGTTAAAAGCTAACTTTTAATTACGCTATTTCTAGCTACGGATGCTATGACAAAAATTATTGTAGCTAAAGTGTTTAGCCACGGAAATTTTTGTGTTTAGCTACGACGTACTTCGTAGCTGTATATGCATAATGTTGTAGTGAGATTTTAAATTTGCTAGTGCTTTCAAAATATGTACAATATAGGCTAGGTCGGGTAAAACTTAAAAATATGAGCCATTTTTTGTTATGGTGTGAAGCCAAGTGTATTTTCTTATATCTTAAGACACCTATAGGTCATACGGAGACAATTTTATTGTTATTCCAGGACCCTCTTCAACATATTAAAATACAAATATGATTGTAAAAAGAAATTATACTATCAGTATATATAAATTAAATTCGTATGTATGTCGTCTATTCTTTTAGACATGAGTATTATTAGCGGGCAATCTTAAGTTTGCTTTTGTCAAAAACTGATAGCTCAACATGGTTATGAATATACGATACCATAGTTATTCCTTTCACGCGGTTGTTAAAAATTTTATTCGACATACAAAATAAGCCCTATACTAATATTCGAATATATTAAAGATTCATGCAGTTTTCAAACCCAATAAATTAAATTTCAAATTTTAATCTATCTTTTATCTAACAAATTAGTATTAAAACCTCTTTCTGATTTTCCATCACTTAAGTGTTTCTAGTCTTCTAAACCTCCCCAATATAAAGATAATAACAATACAGAATGAAAAAATTAAAAAAAAAGGTAAAATCAAATATATCTACAAATAAACGAAATCAAATTCTATAAAATTATTTCTCTAATTTTTTCCCTCCCATTTCAATTACATTTTCCTTTTTCTTCTATTTCTTTTCTCTGTTTCCTTTTCCTTTCTTACATCCTTACCCGTTCGTTTTTCCAACCAAAAAAAAAAAAAAAAGGAAAAAGACAAAACTCCTTTGTTCAAAATCAACAGATTAAACTTCAAGTTCTTATTCCATTTTTAATCTGACAAATTAGTTTTAGACTCTTTCTTTGGTTTTCCACAGATACGAGTTTTTAATCTTTTAACCTACCCAAGACAAAATAATAAAACATACTAAAAGAAATTAAAAGAAGAAGGGTAAAATCAAATTTGTGGCACAAATCAACGGAATCAAATCTTACAAATATTTTCTCTAGTTGTTTCCTTTCCTTTTCCATTTCAGTTAATTCCTTCCCCTTTCCATTTCAGTTACCTTTTTCTTCTATTTCCTTTTTCTTTTTTTCTTTTTTTTTCTTTTTTTTTCTTTTTCCTTTATTACTCCTTACACATTTATTTAGAAATAAAGAAATACAAAACTCCTCTTTCTTCTTCTCTAATTTCTCAAAATAAAGATAGCAAGTAACCAAAGAACCTCAATGCATAATAACGATAGGTAACCAATGAGATTCAAAGGCACAATAATAACATGTAACTAAAGAGACACAAAGCATTATTGATGTGATTGTTTAAAATAAAGCTGCAAAAAAAAAAAAAAAAAGGAAGGGCAAAATAAATAAATAAATATGAATCTTTTTTATGAAGGTTACTGAAAGACATAGAAAACATTCGTAGTTATTCTCATTTATATGAGAAGAGTACTCTCACCTCTTTAATTTTCTCTTATTCCATGAACATCAATAGAGAGAAATCAAAAGCATAAAATAGCAAGCACATAAAAAGATTAAAAGGGAATATACACAAAAAAACGTTGCCTGCAATTTTAAAATAAATTGAGAATGAACTATCTGAAGTCCCAATCTCCTTTGAAATCAAAAGGAAAAAGAAGTTACCTGAATTAAGATAAAAAACTAAAATAGCTGATGTAATAGACAAAAAATCAATTAAAATGGACCAGAGGGAATAATAGAATGGACTTCAAAAAAGATAAGGAAGCAAAACTAAAATAGCCGGTATAAGTTTTCATTATCTATACTAACTATATATATATATAATAATATATATTAATATTATACCTAATATATTATATATTATATAAACTTTTAACTATTACATCTCATAAATTGACCCGTTATCCTTTCTCAAAAGCTATTGCTATATTATACTTTATTTTATGAATATCATAGTACATTTGTGTATTTACCATGTTAAAATCAAAAACAAAAAACAATAGAGCTTTAGTTATAGCTTTAGTGTAATTTTTTCTTTTCTTTTGCCGTTGTGTAATTTTTCTTTTCCACCTCATAGCCTTTGACATAGTCACATAGAGATAACCAACTATTGTAAACATAATATATCAAGTTGATCCTTTACGTATTTCTGCTCCTCTTGCATATATTTACCCAAGAGCAATAGAGTATCTAAGTTTTATACATTTGCACAAAAATATCTTATACATATACGTATTAAAAACTACCTAAAACACTTGCACCATTTCACACCTTCTCCTTTTTGTTTATGCGCTTCCTTCTCCGTAAAGGCTGCACCCGTTCTTCCCAAAGACATAAAGAGGAGATAATATAGAAAAGAAAAATTACTCAAATCCTATTGAAAAATAAAGTTAGTAGTTATTCAATTGAAGTGAATGAAAATATATATAGTCATGAAACAATAAAATCTCTAGATGTGAAATGAAAAGACAAATTAGGATTTTATAACAAATGATACCTCCAGCACACCTTCATGAATTTGCGCTTCCTATTTTCCAAGTTATTACGTTTCTTCTCATAAGCTTATTTCTATTTATTCTCATAAAAATTTACTGTTTAGAATACATAGTGTTTAGATGAAAGATTAAGGGTTTCAAAAGTAACATTCAAACGTTAAATTTTTTTGTAACTTTCAACAGTTACAATGACTTTTTGATTTAGAGCTTAGTGGGCTATTAAGTATAGTGAGTGAGACTTTATTAAAAAAACAAATATATAGAATGAATGAGATGACTATTGAAAAAATTGCCAAAAAAGGAGAAAAGAGATAAATGGCAATCCTAGTCTAAGAGAGATGCCAAGTCATCTTTTTCATTTCCTACTTTATATATTCCTTTCGTTTTCACCTGATTTCAATTTGCAAGCAAGAAATGCATATGATATCAGTATAAAATTTTGATTACATGCTATTTTTTTCCTTCTTTTGATATTTGATTTTATCTGTCCTTCCAGAAATTTTAATATATGCCATCATTTTTAACATTCAAAATGTGGTAGATCAACATATCAACACCATCACGTATTTCAAATTACGTAAGTGATCATATGCATGCAAACAAAAGCATAACTGAAATGTAGAGCTAAAAGAAATAAGGCCGTGAATGAATGAGCTTAACGCGACAGGATATATAGCAACGTGGTTCGTCTACTGTACTTATAAATCTTCAACATTTAGCTTTAATCTGTGTGTCTCTTTTCATGTGGGAAACTTACTATGTGACACAGTTACTATTTAATAGTTAAAGCTTCTTTAATCATGTTTTTGCAAATAGTTAAACAGTTAATTATTGTGATCTTATAATACTTTTTAGTAATTTCTGAAAATATAAATTTTATTTCAAAAAAATTAAATATTCTTTGTTCAAATTCAAACTGAAAATTAGTTAGCTTAAGCCTCCGAATTACAACGTATAAAAACAGGATCGAGGACGGGGTCGACCACGGCCAGGAAGCCGTCTTCGAGAAGACTGTTGTCGAGGACGGGCAGCTGTGTAAAGAAATAACGGTAGGATAGGTTCAGAAGTGGACCCAAGGAATGTTCCTCTGGATATTCCTTATTTTGTACTTTTTAGGGTTTCTTAGAAAAACCCCTTATAAATAGGAAGAGATAGAGAACAAAAGGGGGATCTTGACTTTTTGACAAAGATATATTGTAAAAGGGTTGATCACCAGAGGAGATACGAAAGTTGTCTTGTTCACTGATTATTTTATTGAACACGTTGTTGAATCTTTGTTCACAAGATCCAAAGATTCCTTATCCATCCCCACTTCTCATTTTTCCACGTCGCTGACAAGAGAAAATACCCTCCAAATCATACAATAATTGGGTGGTAGATTCTTTCTTATTATATTTATTGCCATTAACTATATTCATTGCATGCTCATGTCGTAATATCCATTGATAATCACTGAGCACAAACCAGTTATTTAACACTCTCAAATGTCGTTCATCTTACCGATAACCTACAGTATTTGATCTAGAACTTATTATATTTAACTAATATTCATCCTTTGTTTCATCATTGATTAGTTTACCCAAGAGCTCAATTTTTTTTTGGTCAAACAATTTGGCGCCGTCTGTGGGGAATTTTTAGTTAAAATTTTAGTTTCTTCTAGATCATAAAAAAGGGACAACCATCTTTTCCTCGTTTGCACGAACTAACAATGGAAGAAAAAGAAGATGAAAGACAGAAAGCAATAATGGGTGTCACTACCAACATCTTAAACACCATCAACGAGGATGACGGAGGAGAGGATGAGAATTTGACACCAAGTGCTACACCTAGGCGGAGCGATTCACCTCCCCCCCACGCAAGTGTAACCGCTTCACGCGAAAG